CCGAGTAAGTTTATCCTGAAAGTCTTCCCGTTTTGTGTTCGAAGTGTGCTAACTGCATCAGCTTCAGGAAGGGTCCAAAGGCAAACATTGTCATCGGTCCCGACGATAACCGCTACATCGGTCTTGAGAGTGCATCCGTGAATCTACTAGCGCACTTCTCCCCCGTAGCCCGGAAGAAGCTCGTCGAAGAACGAAGCACAGTCTTGACTATTCCTAACGGTTCGAAGAACGCCATCCGTTGGATCTACAAGTACATGCAAGCTGGCGAGCGTGATCCCTCGGACATGCCTACGTTCGAGGCACTGAACTCGGATGCCTTGATCGACGTGTACAAACACTGCGACCTTCTTGAATACGACTCGCTGAGGAAGCGTATCTTCAATCGCCTGAAGAGCAAGTTTTACCATACGCTTCCAACTATCGACGAGATTAAGCGCTACCAAGATTCGATCCCAGCGCTATACGACTGCGCAATTCGCTGCATTGTAGATGAGATGGCGAGGCCGTGGACTTGCGACTACGAGCCGTATCAAGAGCTTGCCAACACGAATGAGGCCTTCGGCAAGGCGCTGGACAGTGCTTTGCAGAAATACATCGCCTCACGTGTCAAGGTCAGCGAAGATTACTATCGCACTACGAAGGATCGCCGTGTGATCTGGGCCATCAACTACATCGAGGACATCCGCGCCGGTCGTCGTCCCTACATCAAGTTCGCCGACAGGCCTTGTAATATGTTGTCCTGGAAGCCTCAGCAGAAGGGCAAGGCCGCCGCATGTCAATTCAACAACGTCAAGGCTGATGCGAACGGCATAGCAGGAACTATTCCAGCTCTCGCAGCAAAGCACGATAAGAAGTATGTCAACAAAACCTACACACCGTTCACCTGCCACAAGTGCGGTGGTGAGGGTCATATTGCACGTAACTGCACCACGGCGATTGCTGGTGAGTCCCTCGCTGCAACTGGAATGTCATACAAGAAGCCAGAGCAGCGTCTAGGTCCAGTCTGCTACACCTGCAAAGGAACCGGCCACCTTTCCCGCAATTGCCCAGCAGAGCAGTCCGCCGCCAAACCCGCGATCATTACCGGTCTTCTCAACAAGGCAACGGACAAGCGTCCACTACCCGTTTGCTACGAATGCGGCGAGGACGGCCATATTGCACGCAACTGTCCGGAGGAGAAGCCGCAATCTGAGCGGAGCAAGGCAAAGTCTCAGCAGCCGTTTATCTGCTACAAATGCGGCGGCGAAGGCCACATGGCGCGCGAGTGTATGGAGGACGTGTCAAGCAACGAACACGTTGACCTCTCCTCTTTCCCAGCCTTGCCCCCCACCAAGGCCTCCACAAGCGGTGGAAAGCTCGTCAATGGATTGCGTCCTGCTCTCGGTCCTGCTCGCGCAACTGCTGCCGCTGACCCTCGCGTCAACCAGGCAAACGCTATTGACTCGTCGGAAGAAGGCGAGGGCGCAAAGACACCTGATCATGAGAAGCAGATTTGAGAGGATGAGTTCAGGAAGTCTGATCACAAGCTGAATTAGCGGAGCGACATAGTCATGCAACATATCATTCTTTGATGGAGGTCAATGAGGTCGTTGGAAGACCGAGCTATCTATAGATTATTAGATATATACAAAGCTTAGTAGTAGAACTACAGGACGTGGTGTCCGAATTGAGATTGCTAATTTCTCGTGAAGATGCTTAGTTTCTGCCGTATCGTTGGCGCCGGACGTATGTTCGACTAATTATTTCATGTGACGAGTTGTCGTAAACCTAATCCTCGTTTGACTTCTACTCTTTGTCTCCACCAGGCTTACCATTCTTCTCCAGATGGTCCTTGATGCTGAACATACCCGTCCCCCGCTCAAGCGGCTTAGCTTGAGTGGGACTAGGTTTCCAACCAATCATGTAGATCAATCTGAAAGTGGCCGGAAGCGTGCCATCTTCGTTGCCATGAAGCTCCTTGTATATAGCTTCAGCGGCCAGTAGTACGTCCCTCTGGATTGGCCCCTTCTCTCGTGCAAGCACAGCGTTGGACTCGCCCATAGCTTGCAGGTCCTTCATCAACGAGAATGTATCGGGATAGTCGACTACGATATCATCCACGTCCACGGTGAGGAGATTGAAGCCTGCTTTTTGTAGCAGTCCACCCACATCTTTGACGTCCGCAAGTGGCGAGGTATGTGTCGAGACACCACCTCTTCGGTCCAGCTCTGCTAGTTGTAGAGACGTACGAAGCTCGTAAAGGCTGTCTCCTCCCATCATGACGCCTATGAAAGGAGCATCTGGCTTCAAAATGTTGTTCACTTGCGCCAACACCGAGGGCAAGTCATTGATCCAATGTAGGCTCAGGCTACTCAAGACGGCGTCGAAAGAGTTCGCTTCGTATGGCAATAGCTCCGATGTCGACAGAACCTCGCGTACGATGTCAATCTCCTTGTTGAAGGGGAGATCGGCATCGCGGTATAAGAGCGCTTCCGACGAGTCTGCGGCTGTGATGGTGCCGATTCGCTTGGATCGAGGGCCTTTGTCTGGGGCGTCTTCGGAGGGTAGAGTAAGTGCGCGGGATAAATTGCATGCGTTCGCACCGAGATCGAGGACTTTGGGAAAATGCCGATTTATATCCTGTGGTCGTTAGTCGCTGTCCATCTCTAGAATGGGGAGCATCATACTAATACTCGCTCACACAGCCTTGATGCCACCTCATCTCTGAGGTAGTCTACACCTCTGCTGTTCTCTTTGTCTGCTGCGGCTCTTTCCTTCTGTAACCACTTCTGTTGGCCACTGAATATCTCCATCATTGGAGCACCGGGCGCTTGTACCGCATACCGTCGGGTGGTTTGGAGGGGCAAACATCGTCGCTTTAGTGGTGGGATGAAAGCGCGGATCGAAAAGGATGCCATGGTGCCAATGGAAGACGAATTGACTCTATAAGGGCGGTATGGACGACGTGAAAACGGATGGCGCGCAAGAGAGAGGACGAGAAAGCAATACGTCAAGACCCTTGAGCTCCTGCGCCAATCGGCGTTTGGCTCCACCGAGATCTACCTCCGTCCTCCAGAAGTCCATCACCAGCACCACTTCTTTGCCAACCCGGACGACTGGCTGGGGAAGAAGCACCCATTCAGCTTCGAACGTTTTTCTTGAGCCCGCGACTTCGCCATGGCGCAAGCTTTCCCGTACACGTACTACGCCTGCGACTGCTTCGACAACAACACCACGACCTCTACGAAACGCACGACGCACGTCCTCGCTGCCTTTGACGACGAAGAAGAGACCCTGGATCCGAGGAACCCGCGTTCCAACTACGCCCTATACCCGCTCGAACATCTCCTCTACTGCGAAGACTGCCTGCAAATACGATGTCCGCGATGCGTCATAGAGGAGACACTGAACTGGTACTGCCCAAACTGCCTGTTCGAAGTACCGAGCTCCGTGGTTAAGAGCGATGGAAACCGGTGCACACGCAATTGCTTCAATTGCCCCGTGTGCATCTCGCCGCTCATAGTCAACCTTCTCGACAACCCTGACGCGGACCAAGGAGTGCCAGACCGACACATACTCGCTTGTCCGTACTGCCATTGGAGTACAATCGAGACGGGCATAGAGTTCGAGAAGCACACAGGCGTATACTCGCAAATTGCACGTATAGCAAATGGAGGGAAGCCGATACCGACCGCGAAAGAGCGCGACAAGGAGCGCGAGAGGCGCAAGGAGCTCGAGGCTCGGCAGAGAGACTCAAGGAACCCATTATCTCCTTCCAGCGACTCTACAGCTCAGGATATCGAACAATATGAGCCACCGACACGCGACGACCTATTCTCAAACCTAGGTGCTTTCTACAAGGCGCAGCTCGACTCCCAGACACCAGCGAATCCTCTCGAGATGAACTTCTCCTCGCCCTCGGCCTATTCCCGCATCATGAATCTCTATTCAACGAACACAGCGAAGAAGCAGAAGCGCAACAAGCCGACGCCGATGCGAGAGGCTGCGTCGGAGTTAGAAGGCCTGGTCGTTCACGACCCCGCCGCGGACAACGCAGCGATCGAGCGCATCAAACGAGACGGTTGGGGCAGTACCTTGTCGCCTGCCCAGAAGCTCGCACAACTAGATCCCCACATGCAGTTCGACAACGAGCTCCGGCCAATACCGACTCTCCTCTGCACAAAGCGATCGAAGCGATGCCGGTCCTGTCGACACATCCTGTCCAAGCCAGAGTCCAAAATAACATCAACACGATACAAGATCAAGTTGCTAGCACTTAACCACATCCCTAGGCTCAGCATCCGCGCACTACCCCCCAACCCAGCTGTGCCACCAGTCCCAGGCTCCATGCCCGCCCCGCAACCTCCTTTCAACTACAACACCCTCCGTCCGGGCATCGCAACGCACTTCCTCCTCCACGTCAGCAACCCACTCTTCGATCCCATACAGGTCACACTCGCCACGTCAAGCACCACACCCGGCAAAGTACAGTCCCGCGTAACGATACTATGCCCGCAATTCGAAGTCGGCGCCAATACCGACGTCTGGGACGACGCGCTCGCTTCAGGTCCCGCACCTATGCCTCGCCGCTCGACCATCAACGCCGAAACAGGACAAATTGAAGCGGGAAAGATATGGGATAAAGGGCGGAACTGGACAAGCGTGGCTATCGAAGTCATCCCAGGCTTTCTTAGCGAGCTTGGGGGCGAAGACGAACTAGACGAAGATGAGGATCTGCTTGAGATACCAATCTTTGTGCGTATTGAGTTCGAGGCAGATGTCAACGCAGAAGAGAGGGGCTTGGGTGATTCTAGAGGAAGCAAAGGGGAGAGAGAGAAACGGGAGGAGGCGTTCTGGACGGTTGTTGGTGCGGGTCGCATAGCGAGTGCGTAGGTTATGGAGGTGATGATGCGCGTTTGTGATACCCATTTGTTTATTTGAGGACAGGAGATTAGATACATTGCTACTTGCTGATCCCACCGCGGTAGCCGCGACGAATGGATTCATTCCTCAAGATTCTGCTACCCGAAGTGTGTGTCATTAGGAAAGACTTCTCCATCCTTCTTCTTTTTCCTCGTCACCATCCCGTCCAGCGTGCCCTGACTCGCTTCTCTTTTATGTCCCGCTTTCTTCTCACTCCTTACCGCCATCTTCTTCGCTTGCTTTGGGCTCGGCGGCTCGTCTACATGCGTATCCTCTTCATGACCATCAGCGTCTTCATGGTCCTCCTCTTTGACCATCGCGCCCGGCGGCCCTTTAGTCCCTCCCGTCGGTCCCTCTGCGTTATCCTCAAAGAGCTTACGCCACGTCCCATCGAGAACCTGCGGTGAGTTTCCGTACAGATTAACGTGATACGCGTTCTTCATACCCTGGATACAAATCTCCCTCCTCTTCGCAAAATCAAACATCGGCTTCGAATAGACTTTCATCTTACCTTCGCCCACCTCCTCCGACCCATCCCCCTTGACCAAACACCCCCATTTCTTCTGATCCGCAATCGGCGCTTTCCACGGTTCGTAGATGTACTTTTTGTCGAACTTCGCCAGCTCAGGCACGTACTTCCTCACAAACTCACCCTCTTTATCCCATTTCTGTGGAAAGGCAATGGGCGAGTAGCATCGGTAGAACTGCGCGAAAAACGCTGTACAAGACAACCACTGCCAGTTCCCGATGTTGCACGCAGCTTCATGGTCAATGAGCCATTCTTCAAAGACCTCGGCGCCGCGCTCCCAGTCTATGTAACAACCACCCCGCGTGAGGAAGCAAGCGACGGCGTGACGACCAAGGTGATGGATCCAGCCTTCCTGGGCAAGTTGACGCATGAGCGCGTCGATCCAGGGGAATCCCGTTCGACCGTGTTTCCAGCGCTGGAAATGTGTTTCCGCTTCTGCGTTGTCGACTAGATACTCGCCGGTGATGAGATTGGTTTTGGTGTCGATTTTAGAGGGTAGGTGCCAGGGTATGAAGCGACAGTGTGGGTTGTTGTATGTTTGGCCGAAGGAGTATCCTAGCCCTGCTTGTGCGCCAAAGTACATGTCGCGGAAGAGGAGTTGACCTGTTAGACTGGTGGGTGGTTGTGAAGCTTTCCCCTTGTACTTGTCCACCACGTCTTGGGCGCGCCAGTAGAAGAGTCGGCAGCTCAGGGAGCCGAAGTGCATGTGTGGGGAGAGGAGGGTTGTGGACTGGGGCTCGAAATCGGTCGGGGCGGTTTTCGGCTTCTCGAATGTTGCTGTGTAGTCTGTGTCCGCTATGATTTTGTCGAGGGCTTGCAATGCTACCGTTTCGCCGCCCCGGTGCGAGGTTGTCGCAGGCTTCAGGCCTAGCTCTTCCATTGTTGGTACTGCGAAATCGCCTTTTGGTCCTGCGAGAGCAGAGTACGAAGCTTCTTCGCCGTCTCTTTGGATCGCGTTGATGTCTGGCTCGCTTTCTGGTCTTTCCTGATCAAACTTCAGATCCGTCTTTCCTGGGTCGGGCAGAGACTTGGGAGCGGGGATAGGTCTTGGAATCGATCCAATCTTCTTTCCTGCAGCCTGCACCTGGTTGATGGTCATGGTGGGTTTTCCATGGTTATGTTTGACCAGCTCATCAGGATCGTACAAGGTTCTTCCGGTCTTCATGATGACTTCAACCCCGGCTTTCTTTGCAAGTTCAGTCACCTTATCATCCCGCTCTCTTGCATATGCATCGGTATCTTTCTCGAAAACCAGATGTGTGATCTTCCATGCCTTGAAGAGCTTGGGTAACAACGTTTGCGGTGCTTCACGAATAAGGAAGAGTTTCGACTTTGGGTTGAGCTTGGTTATCGACTTGGAGAGATCGTTTTGACAATCCAGGAGATACTGCCAGCGATTGGGGCCTACTCGAGCGCGGTAAACGTAATGCGGATCCCAAGTCCATATAGGGTAGAGACATTCTGGCTTGAGATCCAATGCGGCTTTGAGAGCTGGAGAATCGTGGAGTCTTAAATCGGTCCGGAACCAGTAGATCACTCGTGGTTTCGACATCTCTCACGCACGTGTGGTAGTTGAAGTTGGTAGGGTGAAGCTTCGAGAAGAGAAAACGGGGATCTGCTCAGTCGATTCCATGTGATGGACCCACCGAACTACAGCAAAGATAATACCTAGGTACACTGCAACTACTGGGGGAAAACCGCATGGCTGGTATGAATGCTGTCATCGATCGGAGCTAGGGTACTCGCTAATCTTCGTTGGTCCATCCCAGATCCCAGACACCAATCGGTCTCACTGCTCTCTCCGACGGTGGGACCTGGGACGACGACTGAACCCTGAGCTTGTGTGAACATGCTGAGGGTTTTGCAGCTGCAAGTTCGACGTTGTTTGACAGCTACTCGAAGCCCCGGTGGTTGTTGCCCTTGACACAGCACACAGCGGATGCGCCTGCGGTCTCATCTCATGTTAATCTTTGCCAAGGCCTGCCCAGGGTGGACGGCAATTGGGTAGCTTTTTCCTGCGTAAAGATGGCGGTCAGGAAATTTGCCCATCCCTCTGCGCATGCCCAACCTCAAACGCGCCTTTCGCAGCGTGAAGCCTTAAAATCAGCCAAGTTGCTCCGAGAAACCCAAACGCAGGGCACTGGCCAGACACAGTCCAGGGTCCTCTCAAGGCACATGAGTTGTCTTGTTGGGCAGTATCACGGCTTTGCTAGCCGAAATGAGGTGCGCTGGCTGCGGGGACAATTGGTGGCGCACATGGGCGAATAGCAATTGTCGGGTAGCAAGTAGCACCGAAAGACGTTGTTGAGATTGAGAGGGTGCAGCTGCACGCTGCATGCATGCAGAGATAGTAGCAGCTATAGTCAAAAGCAAGCAGAGGGAAAGCAGGGCGGCGGGTGCGCGTGCGATGATGAAAGAACGGCTCACTAGCGGGCGGGTTCATGCGTCATGGCCTCGGGGAGCTTCGAGGTTTGGCCCAAGCTCCCTCAAGCTCGTGGACCCATGGTTTGTTGTGTGCAAACAATCTCTCAACAGATACTGCAGGCGCTTTGCCCGAAGGAGTGCAGAAGGGACTCTGACAGCGCAGAGGGTCGAGCTGGCGTGAAAGCGCGTGCTTGCTGTTCCCGCGTGAAGTACTTAGAATTGCCGTGCTGCAGTTTACCGCTGCTCGCGTCGGTACCACTTGCACTGCAGATCAGCGCCTCCCTCGACACATTCGCTGGCTGCGGGGAAACTACCACAACCCGTATCGAAGCTCCGCGCTCTACTCTACTCTAGACCCATCTCCCCAGGCCTCACCCGCCGCCCACTTGCCCTCCACCTTTCTCTATTCTTCACCGTCCACAAGATGGCACAACCACTGGAAGATGCGTACATCACGGTGAGCAATATGCAGGTAGTACCACGCACGCGAGCTAATCAATCGTGCAGCTTCTTATGAGCGATTCCTACCTACCAGGCGCAGTCGTTCTTGCAAACTCTCTGCGCGATGCCGGCACCACCAAGAAGCTTGCCGTGCTCGTCACGATGGAGACGCTTTCAGCTGATACCATTTCGGAGCTCAAGACGCTCTACGACTACCTGATTCCCGTGGAGCGCATACGGAATGCCAATCCTGCAAACCTCTATGTCATGGGGCGACCTGATTTGGCCTTTGCATTCACAAAGATTGCTCTGTGGAGACAGACTCAGTTCCGCAAGCTCGTGTACCTCGACGCAGACGTGGTAGCGCTGAGGGCGTTGGACGAGCTGTTCGACATCGAGGCGTCGTTTGCTGCCGCTCCAGATATTGGCTGGCCCGATGCTTTCAACAGCGGTGTCATGGTCATCAAGCCAGACATGGGCGAATACTGGGCACTGCAGACTATGGCAGCGACTGGTGACAGCTTCGATGGCGCAGACCAAGGCTTACTGAACCAGTACTTCGAACACCGTCCGTGGCAGCGATTGAAGTTTACCTACAACTGTACGCCAAATGCCGAGTACCAATGGGAGCCCGCATACCGCCACTACAAGCGCGACATCGCCGCGGTCCATTTCATCGGCAAGAACAAGCCCTGGATGGCCCAACATGCGGGTGGGAAGGGTGTCTATGGAGAACTGGTAGCGCGATGGTGGGCGGTGCATCAAAGGCATCTGCACAAGGCGAAGGGCCAACGAGCTGGTGAGGGAAAGAGCACTCTTGGTGACTCCATGCTTTCTTCCTCTACTCCTGCCCCTCTCGAAGCCTCCGCCGTTACGACTGAGCCTCCCATGACCGAATTTGAAGATGAGATTCAGAATATTGACCAAGGTGTGATAGAACCAACCCCCACGGTCGAACAACGCAAGTTCTCTGCGCCCGAGATGCAGTGGGACGCCACCAAGTAGGCTCTTTCACACCGAGATACCTGGGTAACAACTGACAAGTCCAGGTTTGAGCCACCAGCGTCATCGAGACCCGAAGCTGCCAACTTCCCTACGCAAACGTATGCCTTCAGTGATAGCCGATCGCTCTTCAAGGCACCACGAGCCTATCCCGATGCGCCGCGAGACATGTGGTACCAGGTTCCAGAAACCAGGGACGCGCCCAAGCCCATCTTCCCATGGGAGCAAGAGGCGGATAGACCTAAGCCGACGCGTGTATTCGCCGACGATTTGTCACCACAGCCAACTCCCCAGGTAATGTCGCCGACACATGCTTTCTCGACCACACACTTCGACGACAGCGATAAAGTAGCCCCAGTGGCAGCGGAAAAGGTTAGGAATCTCCTCAACGATGTTATTTCGAGCTCTACTGACCAAGGCTGGCAGTCTTACCAGAACAACAGCGGCAACGCCTGGGATAATGTTCCGGGCATCGACAGCTATGTTCGTGCCATATCGGATCTGAGTGGAATACGGGGTAAGAACCAGTCGCTACAACAGACCACAGGCACGGACGACATCAGCTCGCCTATATTGGATCGCAAGCAACGCCGTGAGAGCTTAGTCCTCACCGACTTCCCGTCCGCAGTGGAGCGACCGAGTCTTCCTGTAACACCTGCGCCGGTTCGTCGTCCAATGTTCTGGGGCGAAGAGAGTAACCAGACAGGCGAGCTACCTTCTGCCACAGGAGTGCCGGATCAGACCGAATGGGTATGTTTACGATACACCTTTTCCTCTTTCAATCATGAGCTGACTTTGAACTTTTAAGAATCCGGAGGAGAAGCTTGACCAGTTACGGCGGTCATCCCTGATCGAATTCGAGCACCTGAAGAAAGACGAGCACCCAAACCCGCCGATGCGTGCACTTCCCGAGCATTCAATTGCCGGGGAGGAGAAGACAGGCACTTCGTTTGGACTTGATGGAGCGAACGATCAGGGCATTCCCGGATCTTTTCCAAGCGTTGTCGAGAAAGACTTTGCTAGCAGCGACCCTGCACCAGACGTGCGACCGAGTTCCAGTGATCGTTCCTTCGCACATGGGGACGAGAGCTCTGCGCCCCAGCACTACTCTCAGCAGGACTTTTCCTCTGGATCTTCCAGCACCTTCGGGCAGAACTTCTCAAGCTCCACATCGCAGGTGACGTCTACAGAACAGACCACCAGTCAATCTTCGCAGTCAGTCCAGGCTGGAGGCATGACTTTCACTGTCCCCGTCTTCGAGGACGGTGCTTCAGCTGAGGCGCAAGCCGCTGGGGATGATCTCAGTCCGACACAGAGTCGGACCTAGAACAAGATGATGAACGAATGATGGATATCAATGTTTGCGGTACCAATTTGTCGGTTATTGACCATGGACGATCTCTTGCTGCTAACGATGGAGGATACATGTTGCGATCTCAGTTTTACCCTTTCGTCTTGATACCTGTATGTTTCTTGTCTTTCGTTCGCGAGCCTTGTAGCATTTGCATCGTCACTGCATAGCGATCTGTTGGAGCTCATTATCCATACTTGCTTGCAGGGTTTGCTTCAAATTGTAAGATGTACAGGGTGATGGACTCACTTCAGTCAATGGAACTCTGACCACCTTGGAGCCTACATTGACGCTAGGTCTTCTAGTTTGCATATTTTCATCGTCATGTAGGCTGCAGGCCCGTTCAGACTCTTCCTTGAATGAGTTGGAATGCCAACGATGACTGAAGACCGGGGCATGCGCGAGAATATGCAGGGAACATTTCGTGCATGCTTCCCTAGGCAAGCTTGGGCCAGCTGATCCACTCGTCGGAAGCTTGACAGGCTTGACTTGACCGACGCTGTGGTTGGCGTTCGCGCGTTTGCCCTGTGCCCTCTCAATCATGCCCCGCTTGCCCCTCCCCACCCAATTTGCCCTTGGACGAGCACCTGCCCGATCCATCTCAGCCTGTAGACCGCGAATAAGCGCCACAGCCACTCATAGAAGCCTCTTCTGTCATCCACGAAGCTTCCACTTCTCGCCCTCACTTAGACTCGTCGCTACGCCTATCCGCTGCGACCAATACACGCCCGAAAGAATACCCAACGCCGCCTGGCCGTATCTGTACCACCCGTTCAACAAGATGGCACACCTCGACCCGTACTTCAAGCAGGTAGATGCCTTGCAGGGAAACTTTATTGAGAGGCTGAGGGAGGCGGTCGCTATTCCCAGTATCAGCTCCGAGGACCAAAGGAGACCTGATGTAGTCAAGGTACGGCATAAAGCCCCAAGAGATAGGCAGTCTAGTCTATGTTTTGGGCCAAGATACTGGATGCATATCTGAATGTATGACTGACTTAAACACAGATGGGCCACTGGTTGGCCGACCAGATCAAGGCACTCGGTGGTGAAGTTGAGCTCCGCGAGCTCGGAAAGCAGCCTGGTCGCGAGCACCTTGACCTCCCACCGTGCCTTCTTGGACGCTACGGAAACGACCCAAAGAAACTCAACGTCCTCGTTTACGGTCACTACGATGTGCAGCCCGCGAACAAGTCCGACGGCTGGGCGACCGACCCCTTCACCCTGAGCATCGATGACAAGGACCGCATGTACGGACGCGGTAGCACAGATGACAAGGGTCCGGTTCTTGGCTGGTTGAACGCCATTGAGGCCCACCAGAAGGCCGGCGTAGAGCTACCAGTGAACCTGGTCATGTGCTTCGAGGGCATGGAAGAGAACGGATCAGAAGGTCTGGATGACACCATCCGCGCCGAGGCCAAGAAGTTCTTCAAGGACGTCGACGTTGTCTGTATCTCGGATAACTACTGGCTAGGAACTGAGAAGCCATGCTTGACATACGGTGTCCGCGGATGCAACTACTACCAAGTTGAGGTTTCTGGCCCTGGTCAAGATCTGCACTCCGGTGTCTACGGTGGAATGACACACGAGCCCATGACCGACTTGGTTCGCATCATGAACTCCTTCGTCGACCCCGATGGCAAGATCCTCATCAAGGGCGTTGACGATCTCGTCGCTCCCCTTACTGACGAGGAAGCCGCGCTTTACCCACCCATCGCCTTCACCATGGACGGTCTGAGGGAATCACTAGGTGGTGCAGTAACGATCCACGACAACAAGGAGGAAGCGTTGAAGCACAAGATGCGATACCCCTCATTATCGCTCCACGGTATTGAGGGTGCTTTCTACTCTGAGGGTGCAAAGACCGTTATCCCAGCAAAGGTTATTGGAAAGTTCTCCATTCGCACAGTACCCAACATGGAGATTGACCCAGTCACCAAGCTGGTTGAGAAGCACGTCAACGACGAGTTCGCTAAGCTGAAGTCGAAGAACACGATGAAGTTCAGCGTGGTACACTGCGGAAAGTGGTGGGTCGAGGACCCCAACCACCCCAACTACACGGCTGCTGCCAAGGCTGTCGAGCGTGTCTTTGGTGTGAAGCCAGACATGACTCGGGAGGGTGGTAGCATTCCTGTTACATTGACCTTCCAGGAAGAGCTTGGCAAGAACGTCTTGTTGCTGCCAATGGGTAGCTCGACTGATGCTGCTCACTCGATCAACGAGAAGCTGGACAAGAGGAACTACATCGAGGGCACCAAGCTGCTAGGAGCCTACTTGCACTACGTTGCAGGAGAGATGAAGCGCGAGTAGAATGCCGCACCATGAGTAACATCGTCGGTCTTGTTCCCGTAAATACTTAGATGGTTTGCTACCAACAAGAAATAAATACCCATTCAGCAGTGTGCTCCTCGGTCGACCCCGGCTTAATGACGTGACAGGCTCATATCGTGCATTTCCATCGATCTCTTAGGATTATGACAAGTCGCACAACGTTAAAATGTTGTCATGCGCACTGTACCCTGACTATGCGCCGGCGGTAGTCTGGGGGTGGAAGATGGGATCCCGCCCAGCTTTGACCACCCCGGCGCGGAACAACTAAAAAAGTTCGGCATCGCTCCACCAGGAACGGCCAGCACCGTGCCAACGCGTGCACCACAGCAGGCACGCCAACCCACACACCCAATTCCACAATGTCAACATGTAAATCCCTCCTCCGAGCCTGTCCCTCGCAACGGACCACGCCGTCGCTCCTGCCTCTCACGCAATGCCGCTTCGAATCCACAACCCGGCGACACAGAAAACTGCTCGCACTCCCCGAAGCCCCATCATACACACCCGACCGCTCTGCGCCCACACTGGTCTTCAACCCGCCGTCCTCGGCGCCAAACGTCTACCACACCCCGCTCAAGTTCCTGCCCAAGGAAGATAAGCGGAGACAGTTATACGCTGCCGCCCAACAATACGCAACCAAACTCGCGCACACACGCCAATCCTCACCCATTGCCGCACCCGGCACACCGCTCAGCACAGAAGGTTTCTTGCCTCCACGCCCTTCTGCGTCCCTGCCTGCGCCGCTCCGGAAGCCGTACGAGAAGACGTACCATCTCAACGAGGCGGACATTGCCGAGATCAGGAGACTGAGGAGTGCGGATCCGGATACGTGGACTAGAGTTAAGCTGGCGGAGAAGTTTGGCTGTAGTCAATTCTTTGTGGGCATGGTGGCTAAGAACGAGGCGAAGGCGGAGAGGGTGGAGAAGGAACATGAGGCTGCGAGGAGGAAGTGGGGCACAAGGAGACGGGAGGCTAGGGAAGATCGGGGGAGGAGGAAGGTGCTTTGGGGGAGGGACGCTTAAATGGATGTTGTTTCTGGGGCTATTTGGGTGGCTCTTGTATGATCTTAGCTTAGATGGCTTGGAGCCTGGGTTGTTGGGTTACGGAAATGACGGGGATGTGGTATACGATATGTGTAAAGAGCAAAGGAATATTCGTAGTCTGGTATATCATACTACCGATTTGAAACACATACTGATCAGAGCTGTTTTTGAATCATGGTCTAGAGGGTATCATCCCAAGCTGTTGCAAACGCCAGACTGCTTCATGAAATACCACGCATCACCTTCCACCCTCTCTTTCCATCTCAATCCCCTTCCCTACCCTGAAAACAAATCCTTCGCCGTCTCTCGCGCCCACACCAACCCTCCAGCACTCAAATCGGCCGCGACTAACCACTTCCCATCGCTGCACTCTCTCCTTCTCAGCATCTTCCACACTAATCGCCGGAGCGAACTTGAGCACATCTACCCGCCGAACTGCTAATCTTGTAACTGGGGAGCCCTGTGGCCACGATGTAGGCAACGACGGCCGGTACGATGACAGCGTGGTAGATTGCGATGTCAGTATTGTAGCGCAGGAGAGTAGCTTGCCCAGTTTCGCAACGCTGGTGGTAAGCTGTATGGATGCCGTCGCGAGGGTATTCGAGGAGCTAGATACGGTAGTACTGGTATTTCGTATCGACCAGACGAACGCATCGATGTCTTCGAGGATGATGGAGTGGATGCGACGGTGCATACTCTTGTGTTGAGGATTATCATTGAGAAGGTATTCTGGTAGCGAATCGAGTGTCGCTAGGAAAGAAGGCCAGGACTGTGGGCGGAAGATGTGGAGGTGTGGTAGTGCAGCCTTGATTACGGATTTCATGTCGGATTTGAGGACGTCATTGATTTCCTTTTCCGTGGCGACAAGGCTGGTTTTGAAAAGGCTGGACATGACTTCTACTAGTCGAGGGATGCTGAAGTGGTGCAGTGGGTCGAATAGTATGACGGCTGCTTCTTGGCCATAGAGAGGGGCGGAAGAGCAGCTGGGAGGGAGGATGGCGTGGGCGATGATGAGGTAGATGAGTGAGGTTTTTCCGGCTCCTGAGGCGTGATGGGTTGGCGGTGGAGACATTATTTCGAGGATTGGCGAAGATGAGTTTAGCATTAGGCGGTCGATTTCTGGTATGTTGAAATGAGAGGGTTGGGCGGTGTTTGTGTTGTTGGCTCTGTCAGATGAGTATCAATTTGTGAGTCGCGAGAGTAAGAAGTGAGAGAATAGATTAGGTGAGTTGTGAAGAATGAACGTACATTCCATCTTCCTGCACCATAAACTCACGTAGAGACTTGAACAGCTGTATTTTCGTTAACGCTACTCACCTCGTGCATGGAGCGTGTGTCGATATGACATACCGAGCTCAGGTCCTCGACCTCAACTTCCATCAACAACTTCTCCCCCAACCTCTTCGCCCCATCACCGTTCATTTCCATCTCCCATGCAGATCACCCCTTGATCCTTCCCAGACCTTTCCAAGCACGACCCTACTCTTTCAATATATCTTCCTTCGCGCAATGGCGCCACCAATCTCCACAATCCCGGTAACCGACTTGGAAGCCTCGATCAATACTCTGCCGTCGGGAAAACGACGGAATCCACCGGTCAATCTGAGCGACTGCGCGCTAAAGGAACTCGTGCAGTATAAATGCAACGTAGAGGCGCCGAAGAAGAAGGGCGGTGTGCCGCAAATTATATGCGAGCCGCTGGTTCACTTGCTAAGAAAGTGAGTGTTGGTGGAGTGAGGTGGAAGGCACGAGGTCTTGGCATTGTGACCAGGAACTGGGAGTTGGTGTTATCAGGTTGAGCGCATGGCTAATGAGATTATAGGTGTTCAGGAGGTTTGACTGTGGAGACTACGGCGTGGGAGGAGTGGAAGGCGAAACAGGAAGGTGCGATGGTCGAGCGATGAGATCAAGTCACCACCCACTGCCTCACACAACATCGTACTTTGGGTGGCGGTTTACACAGGAGGCATGATTATTATACATGTATTTTCAACTATGAGATCTTGCTAAGGATTCCAGGAGTAAATCCAATCTAGATATGAACTCGATGGGATGAATAATGAGTTCGCATTGACCAAACTTTGTGTAGCCTTCAGCTACGCTGTGTGGGAGAGCGAGTAGACTATAGTACAACTTGCAACGAAAAAAATAGACAATCAACGCCGCCTTAATGCCTAAAACGTATCTCGAAGCCCCGCGGCCGAAATGCAGATACCCAAACGCCTCGCTATCAAAATGCTAGTAAAACGACTTTTTCTGAAGGTGTCGCCGCCATTGACCGGCTGTGACGAACTATGAGACGCCCGTCGCGGATTTCCTCCAGTACTTTTGGTCGTAGTTGACGTGCACGCCTTCTTCCAGATTGACGTTACGATCGGCGGTGGGCTGCCGTATTGGAGCGTCTTGATGCGCGTTGTAGTCATCGTCGTCTTCGTCCATTTGAGCTTGCCGCCGCTCTTCTTCCTTCTCTCGCTGGTTCTCTTCATCTAGCAGGTCTGTCATGGCGGCTTGCCACAGTTGGTCGCTCTCTTTCATGCGCCTACTGCGCTTCCGTTTGCCAACATTCTGCTTCTGCACGCCCGCCTTTTGCGCCGCCATGAGTTTTCGCAGACTCTGCTCAGCAAGAATGCCCTCTTCTGTCGCCTTCTCCCTGATTTTGCGCGGGTCATTCTCGCGTTTTGTGAAGACGGGCGTCGCTGTGTATGTGTGTTTCGACGGGAACCCGGGGAAGTGTTTTGGTATGTATGGACGCGTTTCTTTGTCCGCCTTGCCGGAGAGTCCAGGACCTAGCAAGGACTCGGTGTCGGGCGGCGGAGCTTCTGGAGGCGCGGGGGGTGCAAAGTAGGGCTGTAAGACAGACGGCGGAATCTCGCCTGTATCGAAATGTTGTTCGAGGGGCGCAGAGCCGCGAAGGCCGGCGGATGTGAGGGCATAGATCCAGTCGTGCGCGACCGTTTCGGTGCGTCGCGAGCTGATCATAGACGTGCGTACTTGTGTTAGGAAGTTGGTCATGTCTGTGACGGGTCAGTCTGGAAAACTGCAGTGGGCACTCGCGGCCAGTCTCTGTCGCAAGGTGAAGCCATACAGGAATCAACCAGCGCCCGGAACTCCTCCAACGCGTCCGGACGCGCGCTCTCGAAACCGATGCCTTTACATTGGATGGCTATTGCGCGCCGCAGCTGCTGGTCGAAAAAGTCTTTGCTCTCGCCAAAGACATCGTGCTCGGCGCTGATGGGGTCGGCAATGTGCTGGACCGGCTGCGTGTGGTGCAGCGCCCGTACGACTTGTCGCTTCTTGGGGTGCGGCTCTCCGTACGTCGGCGCATGGTCCGCATCATGTGCCCGCTTCATGCCTGCGATTGCGCCCTCGCTGCTGGCGCTGGGGGATAGTATGATGCCTGGCATATGCTGCTCGTTGTCGCGGATCCGGTGGGAGGGTACGCCGTGGGAGCAGGTTGCGCACGCGATGGTGGTTCCGGGGACGTCTCTATCGGTGGGTAAGGGCGCAGACGGGAGTGAGAGGGCGCATCGGTTGCGAAAGGGTGCCCTCGCGATGGGAGCGGACGTGCAGGCGCGTATTGTTTCTTATTCGATGGTATTGTTCCTTTCACCTGCCTGCTGCCGTTGTTCTTCAGTTGGGTCGGGAGCTTCCAAGGCGCGGGACGCTAGGACGCCTGCCTTACGTCAGCAGCACTGCGTTCTCCCGTCGAACCACCACACCTTCAGAGAGCCGCCGACGACATCCACCAGCTCCCGCAAACCGCACCCGCGCCTCAAAACTCTCCGCTCTCCCGAATCCAACTCCGCAATGGCTGTCAAACCGATCACCGGCGTAGGTGCTGCCATTGAGTGCCGTGGGCCGTAGTGCGCTGGACGCTAATGACTGGACTGCAGATGCTCCGACGACAGGTCGTGCTCGACCTCTCTGTCGCTATGGGTGCGTAAGAATCGGGCAGTGCATGTCTGCTATTTTCGGGGCTCAAAGAGCTCTGTAGCAATGCGCGCGTCAGCTTTGGACATTGGCTAACAGCAGTCACAGGTCTTGGCCTCACTGCCGGCTACGGCTGGTGGTACGGTACGTGAATCAGTCACAGGCGATGCGACTGCGCTTCCTATCCTCGGAAATCTTTGTCACGCCCATACTTACTATCCAAGGCTACCACGTCCCTGCCGTCCGTCACCGTGACGCCTTCTACCAGAAGCTCGAAGACGAGCGCGCATCATCTCTCGGCCAGAAATAAGCGACTGCCCTTCGCGAATCGACATCTCCTTTGTATCGACAGGTCACGAAAGCATAGAATGGGCATAGCTGGGGATCAGATGTATCATAGGTGGGGGGATCTCTCGACAGCAAGCCAAATCAGACTCCGTCAAACGACCCCACGTATGCGTCCTCACGTGTAATGTGCTTTGTGACTACGGCTATCCATACAAATACCCAGTCTCGTCGCTCTTAAACAGTGCTACTTGTTTGTGAAATGACGGCTCCACGCGCTCACAGTCGTCGATATGATTGCTCGAACATGTGATTCTTACGCGGGCCGCTTCATTGGACTTGGGCGTTCTGCACGTCAGAAAATGGCCGTAAAGTTTAGGCTTTTCCAGAATACGATGTGATCCGCATTTACCCATGCCTAACACGAGTCTGATAAACTTGCAGAAGGTTATCGGGCGGGCTTGAACTTCGTCATATGCCTAAGATTTACAACCCATCGAAAGGCGTTGTTCGTCGGATCCGCGGCGGCATCATTTCGCTCCTTCCACGCGAAGCCTTCACATCGTGGCAGGTAAGGCGGTCTTGAACAATCATCTAGAGTGAATACGCAGTCTCAGGGGCATAGAGAAAGGGGGCCATCGAGCGTTCTCATGTATTCCCGAGGCATAGAGGAGACGTGCAGAGTGATGACAAGGCTGTTGATTTGGGTGAAGTACGTGACGATGAAGATCATCCCGATATCGAATTGGGTGCAACCCATTCAAGGGAAAAGCTGAACACTTATCTTCGCAGTACAATTACCAAAGAGAAAGCTAAGAAGTCTGCGTTGCCTTAACAAGCTACAGCCTCAAGATCTCAAGGCAAAGTAGACTTCAGGGCCTTTGTCCGGTTTTCCCCTTGAAGGGGTGTGTGGTGCGCTGTCTTCTCAAAGCAACGGTTGCGCAGGGATGATAACAAAAAAATAAACATAGACGGTTGTTCGCGATCGATGGACGTGAGCTGAGGGTAAGCGCACGGACTCATCGTGAGAGTTGCTCCGCTCTTGGAGTGTGGTTGCGAGCATCCACATAGCCCGAAGATACCATTCTGTTCATGTGCTTCACGGAATTCCGCCAGTCGCAAAGACTGTGTAGAATGCCCCGAAGCAGTAAAGAAAGGCACCTGGCCGTGTTTAAGTTCGATGCAATTCCGATGCATCGATGATGGTGGTTACAAGTCGTCTCACTAAGCGTGCACGAAACTGTTGATAGGCCGTTGTGACGTATCAGGCCAATGACGGAACGCTGGGGATCACGAGGCGCGACGCGACACGTTGTATGCTAGATTGTTTCTTCATCACGAACGCAAGAATTTGAACGCAAGAAAGGCCGAAGTTGAACTGCAAGACAAAGCAGCGGTGGGGGGAGCAGAAACGTGTCAAACGCTGGATGCTATTGGCTGGCGTCCGGCTTCATTGTTCCCTGGCGATCATGCCCAATCCATGGGACTGACATGGGACTGCAGGGGGGCTTTCCGCCAAGGATCGACGCGAACCAGAGACGGAAGGGGCAGTGGCGGAGCAAGCGAAACTTGTGTGAGAGAAGGTGGCCTCTTCAATGGGTAGGCGATGGACAGGCAGCTCTAGATGCGGAGATGTCAAGAAAAAGCAGTGTCAGGGATGGAGGGCGTATGAGGGAG